TCGAAACGAATTCCACTTCACCTACTTCGATTCGCTCATCTCTAATTACTGTATCAAACCATTTCACATACATTTTGTCCCTAGTGCTTTGTCCTGTGCCCTGCCTGCATTTTTACTGTTCTTTCTGCCTGGAAACTGAGAAATGTCCATGGTGTCCAAAAAGTGTCCCTTTAGGTTAAAAGCGGTTTTAAAACCAGCTAGAGAACAGCGATAGTAAATTAGAACCACTTGCAGAATTGAGTGATAATGATTCGTGGGGAAATTCGTCATCACACACTGAAAACGATTTTGCAACTTTGCTCAGTGATGTGCGAACTTGGCGCTATATTTCAAATTTCAGTGTTTTTGGTTTGAATATATTATTGAATTAAATGTATTATTATTATATATTATTATTTTTATGATTTTTTATTAAATTATAATTTATGATTTTGTGTTTCAAGTTTTATCCTACCCGGGATGTTTACTAGACTCTTGTTCAGACAGATTTCAGTGAGTTATTCCTAAAAATTACAGGCCTACAATAAAAAAAAAACATATTTCCATGCAAAAAAAAGCACAGAAATATGGACATAATCATACCGCTAGGGAGGTTAAGGAAAGAAGGCAGCAAATGTTGTACATGCTGGTTACAGTGCATTTCTCTCTCTGAAATTCTGAGGAAAATGGGTTGTTCCAGACATTGTTCAGAAGAACAGCGTACCTTGATTAAAAAGTTGATTGGAGAGGGGAAAACATATAAAGAAGTGCAGAAAATGATAGCTCAGCTAAAATAATCACAAATGCTTTAAAATGGCAACCAAAACCTGAAAGACGTGGAAGAAAGCGAAAAGCTACCATTGAATGGATAGAAGAATAGCCAAAATGGCAAGGACTCAGCCAACAATCAGCTCCAGGAAGATCAAAGAAGGTCTAAAGTTACCTGTGAGTACTGTTACAATTAGAAGACGCCTATGTGAAGCCAAGCTATCTGCAAGAAGCCCCCGCAAAGTCCCTACTGTTGAAAAAAAGACATATATATATATATATATATATTGTGGGAACTCGCTTCAACGTGGTAGAGCTTTGAAACGCAAACAGCTACTCGCTTTCTTTTTCAGGGCCTTTTTAGCCCACTTTTATTTAAATGAAAGTTCAAACATAATGCTTCCCACGCAGGGGTATCCACCAACAAAACAAAGATTCAGCCTCCTGGCTTACTCAGCTTGCTGTCTGTCTCCTGCAGACTTCTTCCCAAACTATGGCACTTGCACACCGCTGGCCTCTAGCAGCCCCTTGCTGCTTTTGGCTTCCACCTCTCCTAGGTGAAGCCCACCTGACTTCCAGGCAGTGACCTCCTGTCTTCCAAGTGGAGCCCTGCTGACTCCTAGCTGCCGGGGTGGAGCCCAGAACCCTGGTCCTGACTCTCTCTAAAGGCCTGCACACACCTGTGCAATCAGTCTCCTGGCCTATCCCAAAACCTGGTCCCAGGATTGGAGATTTCATCCCTCCCAGATCTCTTTGAAATCTCCAGGCTCCAGATCCCAAAACAGACCTTACAAACAAAGGAGGAAAGTCCTTTCCCGTATCAAACACTTACCCTGGAGCCCCTCAACCTGCCTAGTTGAGAATCCAGGGTGACAGATCGCCACACTGTCACATATCCCCCCCCCCTTTGTTTTGATCCCGTAGGGGGCAGAACACACAACTTATATCTTCTAGCACCCCTGTGCCAGCTCTCACTTACAGGGGTCCAATCTGGTCTGACCTTACCTTTCCTAAAAGGGACCTCTACCCAATGACTCCTTTGGTGTCTCTCCCCAAACCCCATTGTCACTCTGCTATGGGCTCTACTCAGACTTTCCCTATTCTTTTTCCGGGTGCACTTCCATAAACACTTTCTCTCTGAAATCCTAACTGGGTCCCCCTGGCCTTTCTATCGACCTTTCTGCCCTTTTGCTTCAGGTGCTCAGGTTTCCTAATACCTCTCTCAGTATTCCTGTCCCAAGGCTGTAGGGGAACTATTTCTACTGTATTTGTACCAGGACCACCCCCCTGATTTCTTGTACCTTTAGCTATCAAACCTGCATGACTCATCACCACAGCATTCAGTTTACCATGAACAGATAACTTCCAGTCAATTTACACCTTTCAATATCTTTTCCAGCATTTGTTAGGACAGTGTCTGTAGAGGGCACACACACCATAGGGCAGCCATCACCCACGGGAACCACACAAGATGCCACTTCCCTGGTGTCATGCACTCTGCAGGTGGCTGTCCAACCATTTTAACTTTTTCTACACCACTTGGATCTGTATCCAAATCCTGTACAGATGAGCTCTCTTCTGATCCATTTTGCCAGTTTTCACATACCATTTGTCCCTGTATTTCAGGTGTCTTATCAGACCTGCTACATAACTCTCTTTTTGTCCCAATGACCCGGATTTCTTTATACACATCCATTTGAGCCCTGGTCAGGATCTCTGCTGTTCTCTGGTCCATGCTCGGCCCTTCCATCTCATGTGGTTTGTCCACTGGTGCAGTAAACACGCCCCTTCACTGACAACTGACCAGCACCATCCTGGACCATAGCAGCAGAAATGCTTCCCACCTGGCTGTTAGGAGGTGAAAGCTTTGACTCATTTTTCATTTCTCCAAAACATTTCTCATCTATCACATTTACAGGTAATCCAGCGGCATACCCTGATACAACTTTTAACACCATCAACAAATTCAGAAATAAACTACTTTCTTGTTCCCCTTTGATCTGTACAGTCAGCCATTCGGTGCAACACCTAGTGGTACTCCGCAGTACCAGACCATCCGACTGTGGAGAAGACACCTCAATATACATTGGTTGTACATTCCAAAGTTCAAGCATCTCCACTTGACTCTAAATCTAAGACCTTCCTGACCATATTTAGGGCACTGGGAACGCTGAGAGACTCACCTGCTGAGACTTGAGAAGTTGAAATTTTTAAAAGGGACCCCCTCCAAGCTGGAGATAACCACAGCCTGGTGCTCCACCAGAGCGCTGCCATGTGCTGGGCTCACTCTCAACGTCTCAGACTCAGCATCCACAAGCTGCCCCTGATCATTCCCAGTGACAACATCATTTTGACACTCCATGCCAACATCACTTTTGTGGGTCACAGACAAAGTCTCTGCTGTATACACGCCCTTATCTATAGGCTGTTCTATAGATCCTCCTGCTGGCACAGCAGAAACAGTGTCCACATTTTTTTACATGAAAACCTCATCCATCAATGAGATTAGCCTTTTACCCCAACTATCCCAATCCATTGTATATGTGCTCAATTCGCCAGTGCTCCTCAGCACCGAACCGTCCGCCCATGGAGACACATAAGAATAGACGGGCCTAGTTGTAGATCCCTTGCACAAATCACTCTGGATCATGTCAGACTTAGGTAACACCTGTTTTCCAACTGCCGGTTGCAATACCTCACATCCACCACTTTGCTCTGATGATACTTCCTGAATTACACACACACATTTGCATTTTTGCCAGGCTGCATTAACCCGCTGTTTACCTGAACACTTTCCGTATTGTTAGACTGCACCAACACACTCCTATGACAAGGTGCAGTTCCACTCTGCTCCACCAGAGTGACATCGCAGTTGTCCAGGGCAACCTCCGGCTCCAATACATGGAGAGCCCTGGAGATGTCCAAGGACACCTGTGCTGTCTTACCACCAGTTGCTATGGGAAACAACCCATCTTTAATTACCGCTTTTGCACTGCAAGGGCTCAGGGTTTTCCCAACAGCAGTACATTTCACAACAACATCAGCATTTGTAGCTCTTGTGGGCTGTACTAACCTACTACCAACCTGTGACTGGCACACATTAGTGACATCACTTGCTTTTTGAGAACCATGCACAGGTTTTACGTTAACCCCTAACTCCCCACTGTACAAGGCACTGCACAGGGAAAAATCACTCTCAAAAGCACATTCAGTGGCCCAACTAACTGGGGTCACTCCTACATCAGAATGGACAGTCTCATAACCAGTCCTTCTCAACATGACAGTCCCAGCCATGGTTTTATCACACACAGTCTTACCCACCACAGTAGTAGGTGTCGCCATCTTCATTTGAGTGCGTTGTCTCATAAACGCATCCTCAGCTGCACTTTCCTTGGCACCTTTTCCCTTTCCCCAAGTGAAGTAACAGATGCCCCCATAGGCTCCATGGACTCTCTGGCACCCCCTGCAGGCGCAACAGGAACTTCCTCCCTGTTGCCAGAGGCGGCCGCCAACATTTTCAAAAAATAATCTGGGCTTGATGTTGTAGACATTTGCCCAGTATCAGCAGTATTCCAGAGTCTAGGACAGGAAAAGATCCCATGCCCCCACTGACCACATTCCACGCAGGGTATATTTCTACACTTCTCTTTATTGGGATACTGAGCCACATCTCCAATGCAGCTCCTCCTTCCAGGCAATATTTTTTCTCCGGTCGCTATGTGAGATTGCACTCTCCAAGCAGAACTTTGCTGGCTAACACGCTGTATTGGCTCCTCTTGATGCCACTGGCCATGATCCTTGTATATATATATATATATATATATATATATATATATATACACACTAGATTATATACATACACAAAGATTGCCAAAAGTATTGGGACGCCTGTCTTTACACGCACATGAACTTTAATGGCATCCTAGGCGTAGTCCACAGGGTTCAATAGTTGACCCATGAACATGAACTTAATGGCATCCCAATCTTAGTCCATACGGTTCAATATTGAGTTGGCCCACCCTTTGCAGCTATAACAGCTTCAACTCTTCTGGGAAGGCTTTCCACAAGGTTTAGGAGTGTGTTTATGGGAATGTTTGACCATTCTTCCAGAAGCACATTTGTAAGGTCAGGCACTGATATCGGATGAAAATATACTATATTGCCAAAAGTATTGGGACACCCCTCCAAATCATTGGATTCAGGTATTACAATCACCTCCATGGCCACAGGAGTATAAAATAAAGCACCTAGGCATGCAGACTGCTTCTACAAACATTTGTGAAAGTATGGGTCATTGTCAGGAGCTCAGTGAATTCAAACATGGTACCTTGATTGACTGCCACCTGTGCAATAAGTCCATCCATGAATTGTCGTTGCTACTAAATATTCCACAGTCAACTGTTAATTGTATTATAACAAATTTGAAGCAACTTGGAACAAAAGCAACTCAGCCACGAAGTGGTAGGCCATGTAAAATGACAGAGCAGGGTTAGAGCATGCTGAAGGACACAGTGCGCAGAAGTCGCCAACTGTCTGCAGAGTCAATAGCTAAAGCCAAACTTTGTGTGACCTTCAGAGTAGCAAAACAACAGTGCATAGAGAGCTTCATAGAATGGAAACCCATGGTCGAGCATCTGCATCCAAGCCTTACATCACCAAGTGCAATGCAAATGGTGTAAAGCATACCACTCTAGAATAGTGGAGATGTGTTCTCTGGAGTGACAAATTACGCTTCTCTGTCTGGCTATCCAAAAGGACGTGTCTGGGTTTGGCAGTTGCCAGGAGAACGGTACTTGCCTGACTGCATTGTGCCAAGTGTAAAGTTTGGTGGAGGGGGGATTATGGTGTGGGGATGTTTTTCAAGGCTCGGATTTGGTCCCTTAGTTCCAGTGCAAGGAACTCTTAAGGTGTCAGCATACCAAGACATTTTGGACAATTTCATGCTCCCAACTTTGTGGGAACAGTTTGGGGATGGCCCCTTCCTGTTCCAACATGACTGCACACTATTGCACAAAGCAAGGTCCATAAAGACATGGATGAGTGAGTTTGGGATGGAGAAACTTGACTGGCCTGCACAGAGTCCTAACCTCAACCCGATTGAACACCTTTGGGATGAATTAGAGCAGAGACTGTGAGCCAGGCCTCTATGTCCGACATCAGTGTGTGACCTCACAAATGAGCTTCTGGAAGAATGGTAAAACATTCCCATAGACACTCCTAAATCTTGTGGACATCCTTCCCAGAAGAGATGAAGCTTTTATAGCTAAGGGTAAGACTGGGATGCCAATAAAGTTCATGCACCTGTAAAGGCAGGCGTCCCAATACTTTTAGCAATATAGTGTTACAGTGTATGTATATATATCAGTTTACTAGTACTTAGATGGGGGGCTGTATTCTTTTTTGTTTTTTTTTAACCTTTCTCTCTAGCTGGTAATGTTTCCAGTTACATTACAAACAGAGCACCATCATTGACATAATAAACTGATCAACAGCTGCTGCTGATTGGCTGCATAGATGGAAACATTTCCAACATGTCCCTTTGAAAGAAGTTGATTAAATAGCCAAATTATGTTGAGCAGAGGAGCCCAAACACACTGATCAAAATTTATCCGGTTCCTGACGGCCATTATGCTGGCAATTGCTCTTATGTAACAGGACAACAAAAACAAGATAGGACTACAGAACCCTACCCCTCTCTAGGTGCATTTCTGTAGTTTTCAAAAAACAATGTAATTTATAACAGCACAGGAACAGAGCACGGGAAGGTATCAGCTCACAAGATTTACAACAAGATCAACAAGTATTTTTTTATGTAACAAAACACTTTCAATTGTATATTTACCAAATCACAAGGGTCCACATAAGAGAGGTTCATTGTTAGCTTTACATACATTTTAAGGTTTTATTTTGTAGGCCAGATTAGTCCTATATACGCAATAATCAGCGCAAGACAGCCAGATGTGGATTTCTTCTACAGTGCACTAGCACGGCTGATGTCTATTTCCAAGCACATTTTAAGAATTACACAATCTGAGCCACTTAGTAAAATAATGTGACAGAGCTGAATGGTTACACAGAACAAGAGTTCAACATGTCACAAGAAACATACCTAAATAAGGAGCAGGAAGAAAAGTCCATGGTTGTACCAAACCTCTATTTCAGATATCCCTGTTTTACTGTAAACATGCCAGACATTACACTCCCCTCAGAAATAGTAAATGTAAGATTGATTCTTCCTAATGATAAATCAATTGTGTTGCTATCGTTGAATAAAAACACAAAAAAGTGTGATGAACAAAAGAATTCTATTTGATAACTGTGCTGTGTCTGTGTGTCATGGAAGAATGTGGACAAAAAAAATATATTTTTACAGAATCTTTTCTGCTGTAACAACAAGCACATCCAATAATTGTACCCTAAAGCATGTAATATATTATTATAATATGTCCTTTGTATCATAGCTGATGAAATGTGGCATACTCTATGGCTAGTTGTTTTCTTCCCCAAGATCACCATATATCATAATCTTATCCAAAGAAATATCTTATTTACTATTTTGAGAAAGAATAATAGCCCTCTTTTTTTACTGCCTGTTCTTCTTGAGCCACAATCTGAACTTTTATGCTTATACAACACACCCCAAGATCTTAATGTGCTCTTCCCTTACATGCTCCCTTAAAACCCATTTGAACCCTTTTTATGTATTTATGTAATGTAATCAGACTGTGTATACAGTGCCAAATACATAGTGCTACTTTTAGTTTTTAGTTACAAGTGCTGCAGCATGGAGTAAAAATATCCTTTACTGGTCGCATGTTGAAGAGTCAGATCACTGCCCTCTCACACAATGCAGTGGCCCGTGTCTCCAGCATGCCCTCCTGCACACTGCTTCAGTTAAGGCTTCATATACACGAGCAGCTTCTAAACTGGAGTTTAAGAGCTTTTGACATTTTTTTCGCCAAAGGTCCTAAACTCAAATCCATAAAAGCCTATGTATCCATATACACATAGGCTTTTAGCAGAGTTTAGGAGCTGCTGCATTTAGGTGAGGTTAAACCTCCCTCTCCTGAACGCGGAAGAATTCATTCAGGATAGGAACAAAACTGCAATACTGCATTTTTGCAGTGAATGGAGTTTTCCCGTGGCTAGCAGTCACGGTAGACTCATGTACATGAAGCCTTATGGTGCTGCTAAGGAAGTGAATGCTGTTGATTGGAGCATTGTGTAGGGAACATATAAAACCATTGAAGATCTGGGCCACAACTTCCAGTTTTTTTTTTTGCCAAACCTCATTTGAACAAGCTGAAGTTAGAAGCTGATTGCCTACCATGCACAGCTGAACAGATGTTGCAGTCTCCAGTTTTAGTAACCCCCCCCCCCCCCGGTCACATTGATCCCACTGAAGTCACGCGATTTCAAAGTCGGATGTCATTCTAGCTTGAGGTGCAACTTGCAAGACATCTGCCTAGATGTTTATGCAAGTCGCACCTGAAGTAGTGCATGCACTACTTTAGAAATCAGTGCAGCTCCGACCAAGTTGGAATCGCACTGATATGACCACTTTAAATGCAGACAATAGGGTGCGTCTTGCCATGCAATTTGCAAGTCACATGGAATGGCAAATTGCATGGCAAGTTGCGCCCAGTTTGACTGGGGTGTAAATCAACCCCATAAGGTCTGTTCACACTATGGCATCGCAATAGCACACATCTTACTGCATACTTTGCTGCAATGCATAGAAGTGCACATTATCACTTGCTGACCACCCACAGTACTTTTAATTGGGGTGAGCAGCACGAGTAGGGCAGATCACATACATGCACGTCATCTGGCCTGTTCCAGGTTAGGGGTGTGCAGCACATCCTTTCTTAGACTAGTGTGTCTGCTGAACACATGATCACAGTGTCAAAGTTTTATAAATGAATGACGTTTTATGAATTCATCCATAACAGCTGTGTTTCCTAGGCTGTGATTGGCCCACAACAGTAACATGGTACCTGGGCAAATCACGGCACCATGTACCATGTGGAAAAAAAAAAGTATTCCATTTCTTCATTTTCAAAAAAATTGTGACAAAAAATTACAACTTTAAAATATTCACCATGTCTGTTGTTAAATGCCTCACACTGTCGACTTTCCAAAAAGGGGTCATTTTGGGGGTATTTGTACTGTCCTGGCATTTTAGGGCCTCAAAAAAATGAGATTGGCTGCCAGTACATCACAATTGATAAATTTTTAAATATATATACCATTTGCAGACGCTGTAACTTTCATGTAAGCCAATTAATATACACTTTTTGGGATTTTTTTTTTTAAGAAATTTGATTTTATTAGTTGTGTTTTATAACAGAAAGTAGAAAATATCATCTTTTAAAACATTCTCTGTCTTTTTTGTTTATTTTGCAAAAAATAAAATACCCAGTGGTGCCTAAATACTTTCAGTAGAAAGCTCTATGAAAAAAATAACAATTTAATTTGCATATGGTATCGAATGACCGGGCAATTACCTGGGAAATTAAAGGGAAATTCTTTGTAGAATTTGTTTCTCAACCTTTGGGACATTTATATTTAAGATCTCACTTTTCGAGGGGTTGATTTTCAGGTTAGATAGCTCTCCATATTCTTTCAGTTTTCCCATTAAGTTTGATAATGTTAATCTGGGGTTTGCTATATAAAACAGCATATCATCTGCATATACTGCCACATTATGTTCAATGTCCCCCATCCATATTGCCTTGACATCAACGCTATTTCTAACAGTTGCTAATAACGGTTCTAAGGAGATCACAAATAGCAACGGAGATAGGGCACATCCCTGTCTGGATCCATTATACATCCTAAAAAAATTTGGATAGTGAGCCATTTACTTTCACTGCAGCTGAGGGGCCCCTATATACACACCAGCATATTTAATGTATGTTGCAATAAAGTGCGCAGTACCGCGTGTGTTACCACAACACGTAACACAACAAGTAACATTATATGGCTTGTTTTGTGAATATAATCTTTTACCATTCCCAGTATATTTATTGTTACAATAAATAGCTCAAACACACTATGAACAGTTACATTAAACAAATGTGATCTTGGAATGTTTTGTGTATATGTGCTTTGCAGTTAGTAAAAATAATATATAGGAATATGCAGTGTTTGGAGTTAAAACATGAGAATCATAAGGACTATTAGTTTAAAAGCACAGAGGAACAGTATCTTAATTTCAAATGTTAAACTGCCTAATGTGGTTTTATGGTCAAACATTTGTTGCAAATTGTGGAGCAAAGGGTTATGATGAGGTCTTTTTAAATATATACCCACCATAAATGTGTGTTTTCCACACTCTTGTTTTTTTTGCATGGATGTCACGTCAGAAGGCAATGCCCATCAAGATCTACTGACTTAGACCTGTGTTGTGAGCAGGGCCGGAGCTACCACTAGGCAAACTAGGAAGCTGCCTAAGGCACACTGCTGCCTAGGGTGCAACAATGGATGCGGTGTTCCCTTTTCTCCACCATGGATGGATCTAGTGGGAGTGCTGGAGTGGACTATGCCCCCCCCCCCAGGCCAGTCTTTCCATGGATGCTGTTCCTGGCTGCTGAGTGCCTTCTCCCATTTCCACACTCACGGCTGGTACAAGATAGAGCTGCCTGGAGCAGTGAAGACTGCAAAGGAGAAATGATGACAGTAGAGAGTGGGGAGG